TTAATCCACCAAGTATTATAAGGAACTTCAGCCAGGTTTGATTCATAACATACATAAGCACTAGGCTTACCTTTCTTTTCAAACCAAGCCTTACGTTTCAGGCAATCCTTTTTGAAATGCCCTTCCTTTTTACAGAAATGACATCTCATCTTTGCATTACTTTCCTTTTGTGGATTTTAGAAGAAGAGGCCTCATCAATCTTAAGGGGTCCTCCTCCTCCTCCTTTCTTCTCATGCTTCTTAGCTTTATTCTTTTCAGCTCCTTGATGCTTTACATAATTGACAGAATGAGCTCCATGATTCTCGAGTCTGGTTTCCTCCTGAACTAGCATATTGTGCAATTCTTGCATATTCCATTTATCTTTCATGGTATTATAGTTCATTTGGAAAGGACCATACTCTGACGGTAATGAGTTCAATACGAACTGCACCAGGAAATTCTCATCCACAGCCATTCCCAATGATTTCAATTTTTCCGCAATGCTTGCCATATCAATAACATGCTCATGCACAGTATGTGAACCATCAAATTTCATGGTGGTCAGTGTACTCATAAGTGTCCCAGCAAGAGACTTATCAGCGGTTTGGGAGCGTTCTTCCACAAATTTCATGATGCATATCTCTATCATAAATATTTGTCATCTTTGGATGTCCAAATGTAAGGAAGTATACCAACAATACCAACATCCATGTTCATTTTATAAAACAAATAATCTTTCTTTGGGTTGACCCTAACTGTCCTATAATAATGAACTTCAATATACCACAACATGAGCAATTATTTTATACTCTTCATAGCATCACAGTCATGGTAATTGAAACAAAATCATAATATTTGAAATTAAAACAACTCTTCAAGATTTGGCCACTTTGGTGACTAACAAATCTACCATATTTAATTTCAAAATTAAAATATTTCATAAACAGTAATAGAATTAAATTTTCACATTCAATTTTAACCCAACCACGTCACATAATCATTTACAGTTTAGCAAAATGGCCACGGAAAAATAACTAGTGATATTACATGCTTGATCCTGTTGTAACATGCTTAACCTAATAGTAGTTTTAAAACCGTGGACATAGTAGCTTACTTCAAAGGATAAAAGAAAGGAAACCACATCACTCAATCTCCCATTAAGCCTTTGTCCAATAATTCATAAAAAATAGAAATAAATGAATGGCTACGTACGAAAAACCGAATTGCAATGATTCATAAAACCGAATGGCTATAATTCATAAAAGTCCCAACTTCTTTTATAAGAAACACGAAACCCGGGAAGCAAATTAATCATGATGCACGTTTAATTGATTTCAAAGAATATTATGAAATCCAACAATGATGCACGGTTATCGAAAAGTCATATACTTCTCCAAATCAAATCAATATTAGTTTCTCGATTTTTCAAACAGCGATCGGTTGTAAATTTCAAATGCTATTCCATAGACACAAAAATCGAGAATGGCAAATGATCTTTAATTCAACCAATTTACAGTGCACATTGCCAAACCGAATGCAACTTTCATCCAATAATTCACTTTTTCAAATCAATATACGGATGAAAAAAAAATCGAGAAATATCGATTGACATTTATTTTATATTCAAGGATGATCGTGAATTTTCAGAACCTAACTTTTCATTAATTAAGAATTCATTCATAATTATATATGAAAAACATAAATTTTAAACACATGCTCTAATACTACATATAAGCATTTTATCAATAATTCAATAATTCATGTCTATGTAGCACTGATACCGACACGGGACACGTGACACGATACGAAACGATACTCTGACACGTTTATTCTAAAAAATATTAGATTTCGACATGTTACGACACGTTTTGCTATTAAATAATATATTTAATTTATGTAGAGTATATTATATTTAATATTCAATAATTTAACAAAAAAATGAATCTAAACTTATAATATTCATAAATTTTGTAAAGAAACATAAAATATCCTAAATATTTATATTAAACTCAATAAAATGGTAATCGTAATCCAACAAATCTAACAGTTGAAACTAAAATTCAATGAAACGCAACCTTTGAATCTTTTTTTTTTTTTAATTTCTATAACGCGTGTTGGAGTGTCGGGGAGTGTCCGAGAGTGTCAGGAAGTGTCGGACACGACACATAAGGCTTTTTGAAGTGTCGGTACTTCATAGATTCATGTTCAACAATATTCGTTCCGGAACATGACAGAAGATCTTTAGAATTTATGAGTTTCACATAAACATACCTTTATCCATTAATGCGGAAGATCTTTACAGTAGAATGTCCTATTCAGAGTCCTGACCCTCTTCTGTTCTTGTATCTTCTTTGACAGGGATTAGATACAACTTTTATGGGTAGACAATGATGGAGATGGTTTCTGTAGACCCCTTTATCAGAAAACCTCCCGTTTCTCTGAATGTAACTGAACCTGTCACCAGTTACTTGTTTAAAAACTTCCCTTAATTGTCAAATTACCATAATGCCCTTTTTATTAATTAAACCAAATGACACTTAATATCATATATGAGACAAATAGTTTTACAGGTTAGTCCATATATAAATAAGGATATTTAATGTCATAATAAAATATATACTTTCTACCAAGTGTTTGAAAAAAAAAAGTGTAGAATATAGTAAGAAAAGAAAGTGCCACAATATAAAACTCTGAGGGAGATGGGTGAGAATATAATGTGTGAGAGAGATTGGTGAGAATTCTATGTTCTTTTTTTTTTATATATACATGAGTTCTATGTTTTTTAAGTTGCATTAGAAAATGCAAATTTTTTGATGTATTGCATTAAAAATATATAAGAGTTTCTCTCCATGTTCAATTTATTTTCATTTCTAACATTCTGTAACTTCATAAATACAACTGTGGCATCCAATTGCAGGTTTTTCATGGGCATCCAATCCAATTTCTGATTTGAGGTTTAACTTGACATATTGATTGCACAACAAAAAAACATATAATTTCCTCTAAAGTGAAGTACTTTGATTTCTTAAAAATAGCCTCACAAAATATGAAAACAAAATTTAGAGTATAATTTCCTCGATTTTAGATCATTAAATAAAGAATTATGTGACTTACTTTCGTTAAGAAAAAACTTGAAGGTTTCTTCTGGGTTTAAACGCTCTTATAGTACTATTGTTGCAAATTCGAACTGTGTTTGTGAGAGATAAAATATGCTAAATGAGATGTCATTGCATAGATCTCAAAAAGTTAGATGGAATAAAAAAAAATTTATTTAATTCGGACACCTGAGTTAAAAGTTATGACTTTATGATGTTTTTCGGTTAAAATATTGACTTTTATGTGCCACATGTCAACACCAGATAAGTCACGACTATTAGGCGTGAATGCCTCATGAATCACACCTAACTTTGGTGTGAATGAGTGCACTAAATTCATAAATAATTTCGAAATAACTATATATTCATAATTATTTATTAAAACATCAATATTAAACCCCCCTAATAAACAACTACTTGTAACCTCAATAGCACGAACACGTTGTTTTGTTGAAAATTTACGTGTCGGACACGTGTCCGACACGCACACGCTCCGACACGCTCGGATACGCATCCGACACGCGGTCAACATTTGAGGACACGTGGTCAACTCTCGGACACGTTCCGACACGTTTTTCCGACATGCAGTCAACTGTTTCGGACACGCGGTCAACGCTCAGACACGCTGGGAAACTTTTTTTTTATTTTTAAATCTTAATTTTATTTTTTTAATTAAATATAAAAGAAATAATTTATAAATTAATTTTTTTCTGTTATGAAATTTGAAATAAAAAATTAACAAAGTACAAAAAATTATTTATATTTATATTTATGTTATGAAATTTAAATGTTTGATTGGTTATATGACTTATAATGGACTCTTATATGTACTAAATATAAATTATATTATATATATTAAAAATTTTATTTACTATGAAAACGTGTCCCAATGTGTCGAAATATGACATTTTTTAAAATTAACGTGTCGGCGTGTTGTGTCGTGTCGTGTCGTGTCCCGTGTCCGTGTCCGTGCATCATAGCTTGTAACAATCCACTGCTCAAGACCCAAATTTGTAGTATTATATTATGGGTAAAATGTGTGTCATTTTAAAGGATATAAAGTTGTGTCATTTTAAGAGAAAGAATGAGATAGATAAAAGAGGAGAGAGAGTTGACAAAAAAAATAAAGGTATGAGTCCCACCTCTTTGTGAGAATGAAATGATATAAGTTGTGTCATTTAAAAGGATAAACATTTTCCCCTTATATTATATATGTAAGATTATATTTACAACTTTTCTTTTATAAACTCTTACAAATTAATTATGGGTAGCACATACTAATATATACTATTCGTAGTATATAGTATAATTTGTAAGAGTTTGTAAACAAAATTTTTGTAAATATCACCTACCGTAATATATAATGTAATTTGTAAGAGTTTTTAAATAAAAAATTTATAAATATTAGGGTGAAAGATTTCTCTAGTCAATGGAGATAAGTTATGTCCAGTGAGTCCAAAACGACATAGCTTCGGCGTAAAAATTAAGATGTTTTTGTAATTTTAATATATTGTATAGTTATATTAGTCTTTATAATTATAATTTTTTAATCTTATAACACAAAACGACATCATTTTGTGTTCACTAGAGATAATTTTATCTCCGGTAACTGGAGAAATATTTTTCCCTAAATATTATGTAGTATATAGTATAATTTGTAAGAGTTGGTAATAAAGAAAATTTATAAATATAACCGTTATTATATTAATAAGATTAACATAAAAATCTATTCTACCGTAAAAAAAGTTATTAAAAAGAAAATACCAAAGACGAAATTGATATCATTTCTCCAGTTTTAATACTGGTCACTCCTTTCACTTGTATATCTCTTCCTCATATTCCAATTGCAATCAATCTGATCCTTATTTTTTTTATATTTTATTTTTGAAGGTAATCTGATCCTTATTTTAAACTCTGAACAAACCCACTCCTATAACTCTTCTTTCTGTTGCCATTGCAATTCCTCATTGCAATGGAGTGTAATCTCTTCCCGAATAGGCCACTACTCCCAGTCCCTGCAAACACACCAACAACACAACCTTTGAAATTAAAGTCAACACTTTTTCCATTTTTTCACTCTCCACCACCTCCTCCTCCTCCTTCCTTTCATGTGGATTCTCTTATCCAACATCTCCAACACCTCTCTTCTGCTCCCATCACCACTCACTCCCTCACACTTGTGCCTCCAATTCATGATGACAGGACCCATTTCAATTCTCTCCGAAATCCTCTTGATTCAACTGAACCACAGCTACCCACTTCAGCTTCTGCCACCAGAATTGGTTATGATCAACTTGAGGATGCAAAGTTTGGATTTTTATCAGCCAGGGGTAAGTTGATGCTCAATTCAATTGTTGGGTCACCTTTGCATAGTTTAAATGATTTCTTCAACTCTGCCAAATTTGAATTGCTTGAAGTTGATATTCCCAGCCTCTTGAAAGCTTTAGACCTTTCTGGCAACTGGGAAAGAGCCCTTTTGTTGTTTGAATGGGTTTGGTTGCATTTTGGGTCTGAAAATATGAAGGTGGACAATCAGGTTGTTGAGATTATGGTTAGAATATTGGGGAGAGAATCACAGCATTCTATTGCATCCAAGCTGTTTGATTTAATTCCTGTTGAAGAATACTCACTTGATATCCGGGCTTACACCACTATTCTTCATGCATATGCTCGCACAGGCAAGTATAAGCGAGCTATTGATATGTTTGAGAAGATGAAGGAGACTGGTCTTGATCCAACTTTGGTAACTTACAATGTTATGCTTGATGTTTATGGCAAGATGGGTCGTTCTTGGAATAAAATCTTGGACCTATTGGATGAGATGAGAAACAAAGGGCTTGAGTTTGATGAGTTTACATGCAGTACTGTGATCTCTGCTTGTGGGAGAGAGGGTATGCTAGATGAAGCAAGGAAATTTTTTGCTGAGTTAAAATTGAATGGCTATAAACCCGGAACAGTTACATATAATTCTCTGCTGCAGATTTTTGGAAAGGCTGGAGTTTACATAGAGGCCTTGAACATCTTAAAAGAAATGGAGGATAATAATTGTTCACCTGATTCTGTTACTTACAATGAGCTTGTGGCAGCATATGTAAGAGCTGGATTTCATGATGAAGGGGCTGCTGTCATGGATACAATGACAAGAAAAGGAGTAATGCCAAATTCTGTTACATATACCACTGTGATAAATGCCTATGGTAAGGTTGGAAAGGAGGACAAGGCGTTAAAGTTGTTCAGCCAGATGAAGGAGTTGGGTTGTGTTCCGAATGTATGCACTTACAACTCTGTTCTTGCAATGCTAGGCAGGAAGTTGAGATCAGAAGATATGATTAAGGTTCTCCGTGAAATGAAATTGAATGGATGTGCTCCTGATCGTATTACGTGGAACACCTTACTTGCTGTATGTGGTGATAAGGGTAAGCACAATTATGTTAACCAGGTTTTAAGGGAAATGAAAAACTGTGGATTTGAGCCTGACAAAGACACTTTCAATACATTAATTAGCACATATGGTCGGTGTGGATCTGAAGTTGATGCTGCAAAAGTATATGGGGAAATGGTTAAAGCTGGTTTTACTCCTTGTATAATGACTTATAATGCTCTTCTAAATGCTCTTGCAAGACGAGGTGATTGGAAAGCAGCAGAATCTGTTATCCTGGACATGCAGAACAAGGGCTTTAAGCCTAATGATACTTCATACTCACTGTTGCTTCATTGCTATTCTAAGGATGGGAATGTCAAGGGGTTAGAGAAGGTTGAGAAAGAAATTTATCATGGTCATGTCTTTCCTAGTTGGATGCTTTTGAGAACCCTTGTCATTGCAAACTTCAAGTGCAGACGGCTCAAGGGAATAGAAAGGGCATTTCAGCAATTGCAAAAGAATGGATACAAACCTGATTTGGTTATAATAAACTCCATGCTTTCAATGTATGTCCGAAACAAGATGTTTGAGAAGGCCCATGAAATGCTACATTTTATTCACAAAAGTGGGTTGCAGCCAAACGTTTCAACCTATAATAGCTTGATAGACTTGTATGTTCGAGAGGGTGAGTGTTGGAAAGCTGAAGAAATGATCAAGGAAATTCAAAACTCGGGTCAGAAGCCAGATCTTGTGTCTTATAATACTGTCATCAAGGGATTTTGCAGACAAGGGCTCATGCAGGAGGCTATTAGAGTTCTATCAGAGATGACAACTAATGGGATTCGACCATGTGTCATTACATACAATACTTTCTTGACAGGATATGCAGGGCAGGGGTTGTTTTCTGAAGCAGATGAAGTCATTAGATATATGATTGAGCACAATTGCAGGCCCAATGAGCTAACTTACAAGATTGTAGTTGATGGTTATTGTAAAGCAAGGAAACATGAAGAAGCAATGGACTTCTTGTCTAAGATTAAGGAGATTGATATCTCTTTTGATGATCAATCTGTGAAAAGGTTAGCTTCTTACATTAGGGAGATTTTGGGGTCTTGACTTTGTGAATTATCCCTTTGGGTTTCCTTTTTTTTTTTAATACGTTGGTTAATACAAGTCCATCAGTTGTTGCAAGTCTTTAGCATGAATCAGATTTGGACTTTTGGCAACTCCATTTGTACTATAAAATTAATAACAGCACCATTCCACAATAAAATAAGGCATGGAATATATTGAATCCGCCTATCTGTGAATGAATTCCTTTGTTGTGCATGAGAAAGTTGGAATAAATAACTGAAAAGTTATAAATTTTGGTGCAAGAAAGTTGTCTTTATGTGCATGCTTTTTTTTTTTCTCATTCTGTCGGGTGAAGAAAATAAAATTCAACTGGAAGTCTGGCACAAAATCAGAGTTATTTATTCTTGTTAGGTAATTGTGTGATAGGTTATTCCACTTATATGGATTTTACTTAGCTCATTATCAGACCAATTTGGGAACTTCATCACACTTGAATATCATAATAATCTCCGCCTCAAGTTTGAAACTCACATTGATATACTCCCCCTTAGAAATACTCCCCCTTAGAAAAAGTTTCTCTGAATACCCTAGGTCTAAGTACTTAACCTGCCTCTAGCCAAACACCTAATAGCTCGAGTAACACTATCAAGCGAGCCAAGGAAAGCCATAGAAGGGAATCACTACCCATGGTAGGGGTGGCAATTTGGGTTGACCCGCCCCGCCACCAACCCGTCAAAAACGGGGCGGGGCGGGTTGACCCGCCAAAAAATATGGGTTGAAAAAATGAATCCACCCCGTTTTATGGTGGGTTGGCGGGTCAACCCACCAACCCGCCAATTAAAAAGAAATTAATTAAAATTCAAAAATAAATTATATTTTATGAATTTTTCTAATATTATTTTATTTCACACTTCTCTATATTTTTTTAGTTTCAATCTTAAATGTATACTAATATTTGTCAAACATTCTTTAGGAATTTATATATAGATAACATTTGTCATAAATAAAATTGTTATTTTTTATTTTTTCTAGGAAGTACTAAGATAAAAAAAAAATTTGGATATCACAAAAATTTAAGGACTAATGAAATACTACTTAATTGTAAAAAAAAAAAAAAAAAAAAAATTATAACCCGACGGGTTGAACCCGTTTTAACCCACTTCTAGGCGCGGCGGGTTGAGGTGGGTTGAAAACCTCAACCCAACCCTCCCCTCCTAGAAGTGGGTCAAAACGGGTTCTCTCAACCCGCCCCGCCTAGAAGTGGGTCAAAACGGGTTCAACCCGCCGGGTTATAATTTTTTTTTTTTTTTTTACAATTAGCGGGTTGAAAACCTCAACCCAACCCGCCCCGTTTTGGCGGGTTGACCCGCCGGGCTCAACTCATATTGCCACCCCTACCCATGGACTAAACTAGCACAACCATAACAAGTGAGTTTGACACATGTTTCAATCCAAAAACCTTAAGACATTGAGTTTAGGGTGCTTCCACTTATATAGTCTTTATTTAATTAACCCATTATCAATTAATGTAGGATTTCATCACATTTGAATATCACAACTATACAATGTACTGTGTGGGATAGAGCATATGACTTAATGAAAGTCTGTACGAGCTTCTGCAGTTTCATTAGTGCTTTCGCTTTAGCCCTGCAATTATAAAACTCAAGTTTTACGTGTTACAATTACGCCTGTGACATACCATGTTTTTTAAAGCACAAAACCTCTTTATGTTTTGGAGATCAGGGAGACAATATAACTTGTGAGTTAGAAACAAAATTGAAGTTTAGCTTTTGAATTTCAATAAAATGCAAATATGGAATCAAATATTGATAATTTTTGAAGTTTAACAATTGTTTTAAGTACTGGTGTAGATTTTCCAAAATTTTTGGGGTTCATGACTAGTCCACACTAAAATACACCATTGGGAAGAATCTTGAGCATAAAGATTCATGATCAACACACCACGGTTTATTATGAAACCCATAGAATATAAATCAGCGGCTAGCAATAGCGGAAAGAGGATAGAATTTGGTGCTTGCCAACAAGAATATCTTTAGCCGAACATAACCAGTGACGAACTTTAATCCTTGGGTTCCATTTAGATAAACATGAAATGTTCTTTGTCTAGGATTTGCCACATTCTATTATTAATCATTGCTTTGCCGTGAAAGACTGCTGCAAGCTATCTTTTGAATGCAATTTGGTGACTTAGATTTATTGATGGAAATTTATGTTCAAACTTGAGAATGATTCAAAGGTGTGTTTTTAGCATAAATATGTGTCTTATATTAGGTATTTTTTTTTTTTTTTTGGTAAATATATTAGTTTTTACTGCTAAGTTAATCCTTATTATTATTATTATTATTGTTGTTGTTGTTGTTACGGGGAGATTATATTTATTACTTTTTTTTTTATTATCTTTTATTATCAAATTTTAACTGTTGATTTTTGCTAATTTAATTATTATAATTTATTAAAAATTAATAATTAATTAATAAGTGTGAGCCAATGAATTATAACCTCTAGATTGACGGAAATCAATAGTTAATAAAAGATAGTAAGAAAAAAAAGAAGGTAATATGTATAATCTCTCCCTATTATTATTATTATTATTATTATTATTATTATTATTATTATTATATACCGTAAACTTATTATGCATAACTTGGAATAAAAATAAAGCGTTGCTATCCAAGGGGCATAGCTCAACTGACAACTATAATGTATGAATTGCAACGAAATGCGAGAGTATAATGGATTCAATTAGATAGGACACTCATTTCCTTTCAATTAAATATACTTTTTTTCTTAGTCAGATTTCATGATGTCCGCTTTATTCCTAGTAAATAAAGAATAAATTTTTGGTGCTACTGTTATACCAAAGACTCAGTATATCCCACTAATAAAAATATCACATGTCAGCTAAAGTTTTCTTTTCTCTGTCAAATTTTCTCTCTCTCCTATGATGTATAATGCTTCCATTGATGGGATGCATTGAATTTTGGTACAACAGTAGTACCAAATCGTAAATAAAAAAGTTATTCGTGGTCCCTAAAAAATTCAAAATGGACCCATTTAATTGAAATCGTGGTCCCTCACAAATTCAAAAAAGATCCACATTAGTCCCTCAAAAGAACTAAAATGAGTCAACTTTAAATTTATTAGGGACCACGAATAGCCTTTTTATTTGCTAGGGTCTAAAACAGATATCGTAAAATTTGACGAGAACCGAAAAATGTATTTACTCTATATTTATTAAAGAGGACAAAAAAAGTATATACATGTAAGGGGGCTAATTCTTTGATTTTAGGGAAAATTTCAAAAATTTTAGTGTAACTTTCTTTATAATCATTTATTTTTTTCCCAAAATTTTAAATTATTTATTCTCTTAACTTCAATCTTTTTTATCATTTACCCCTTAAGTGGAGGGTAAGTGATAAATAAACTTTAAGTCCGAGGGTAAGTGATAAATGTTTTTTAAATAAAAATATAAATGAATCAAAAAATTTGGGAGATAAGTGGTAATTGAGAAAACTCATAAGGGATTTTTTAAAATTTTCCCTTAATTTTATCCAAATTTTGAACGTGAAACAATTTTTCTTTTTGGTTGCTGATTCAAGGTTCAAATTCAAGTATTAAAGCAAAAAGCACACTTCTTTAGCTATTAGATTAATAATTCAATTTTTTCTAGTACTAGATTAAGAATTTAATTTTTTTCTTTAGCACACTTTTTTAGTACTATATTATGAGTGTAAAATAATTTTATTCTATTATTGAATAAAATATTATCACATCAATTTACGAACTCTAACATTTTATGTTTTATCAAATTCATTAAATGAAATGTTAATATATTTACATTAACAATGCATTAAAAATAAACTCGCTGTATGCATCAAATACCAGTCTCTGAGGATTAGCACTTGAGATGACTTTTTTAAAACAAAAATGGCCCTAACTTGGGGCGCATACTAATTTTCATACTTGGGTATTTGGTATTTAATTGGGAGGTTGGTAAAAATAATACAAACTACACTAAATTCCTTATGCTCAAAGGCATTGTGATTTGTGTGGAATATAGGCCAAAACAACAAAGCAGCTATAAGGTACTATAATAGTATGACATAGGATGATCCATGAATCATAATGAGTTGCCTATGGTCTAGTTCAAATATTATACGAACTAGTAACTAATCTAATTATGATTAATTGGTCGATAACCTGAACTAACTCAATTTAATAGTTATTTGATAAAAATTTATAATCTGATTCAATTAGATCAAATTAATTAATATCTCGTTTGAAGGTGGTTAGATTAAAATAAATTAATGACATCTCATACTTATAAATCAGATTTATTAAATTAATGCAATATCAACTATTCTCAAATAAGATATTAAATTTTTTGTTTAATACCAATATCAAATAATCTTGTACGACTCAATTAAATTTGATGGTTCATTCCAAACCTGACATTATTCTGTAAGCTAGCAGCAATTTAGCCCGATCAACATTCCTAAAATAAAAAAGCACAATTTGACGTTTTGTCTCTTTGTGCGATCCTTCTAATAAATGCTAGGAAACATATAACTTTCTAGCTCACCAACAATTACACTGTACATACATTTCTCAGCATGGGACCCTGAATCACGAAACAGTACATAATACATACATACCATGATTACTTTTCCTTCTATATGCACTAAATAAATATCTGAATTTGATTTCTCAGTTAAACTAAAAACGTATTCAAGCATCTAAGTATTTCAAATTGATCAACTCATTACACATCATCCTTATCAATCATAAAGAAAAATACCCGAAATAAAACGAATAATATAAAAAGAATGTGATAAAAGTAAGTGTAGATTGATTGAGAATTTTGGAAGAAAGCAAAGGCGGTGAGTGCCCACTGGCTCTGCGAAGCCCACATGTAAAAATAACTCCATCAACATGACAACACATCTCTCACTCTCTCTCTAGAGAACAAAAACAACATACAATACAATACAATACAATAGAACCCTCTCTTCTTAGCTAAATTTCTCGCCACTCGTTTTATGCTTCTCAATCTCTCGTTTCTACCTCTCTCTCTCTCTCTCAACTTCAAATAAAAGCTAATAACACAACATACTTTCCTTGATTCTCATTCTCATTTCGATTCTTATTCCGATTCCGATTCCTACTTCTACCTTCGTTCTCATGGGTTGAACAACCACCACGAAGCGATTTTGATTG